CGCCCAGTCCCACTTAAAAGCCTGGTCCCTTTTACAAGCTAGGGCTGCAACGATTAGTCGACTAATCGATGACTAATCGACTATTAAAATAATCGGTGACTATTTTAGTAGTCGACTAATCGGTTTGAGTCATTTTTCATAGAAAAGTACTATAAAAGTATCCCAAAATACTCTTACTGCAGCTTCTTATGTTCAGATATTGGCAGCTTTACACACTCTCCCATGACGGTGAACTAAAACCCTTTGGAGTGAGTACGAAGACATTAGATGACATCATTTTGGGGACAGACCAACATTTTTCAACATTTTAACACATTTTTCGATAAAACCGTAATCGTTAGTTGCAGGCCTTTTACTAGCCTAGTGTAGCTACACATTTTGACAAATAAAAGCCCCTCTCAATTAGAGGCCTGGTCTGGTTGCCAAACAGTTCATTTTTTATAGAAGTTCTTGGATGTATAAAACAGGTTGTCGACTACCCACTTAAGCTAACGATAGTTAGCTGCTTCGATCACACATACAAATATAAATAATATAAATGTTGTCAGTTTGACGATGTTACATATTGTTAGCTCGGTTAGATTCTCCATTATTCAATCGTTAAGTTCATTTTACTGAAACCGTGAACACCAAAGAATAAAGCATTCAGATTTACTAGCATGGGTCTTCGGATGTATAAAAGCGGGTTGTTGGCTACCTCAAATTATGTGTCCATTCCTTGATTACCCTGTAAGTTATTCATATTCCTTTAGTCTGTAAGGGTCCTCAGACCAAAACAATCAAAAGCATTGTTCATAAAAATTAATCAAAGTTGTGCGTATTGTCTTAGCAGGACAAAGTGGTGATGTGTTAGTATGCAGAGTGCCGTAAAACTCTCTCATTCTCTGATGTGCTGTCTGTTGGAGCTAGATCAAATGAATGATTCATAATTGATATATTATATGAAGCCTAATTTTTAAACAAGTAATATTCATACTGGTTTAAATAAACAATTTGATTGTGGTTCCTCATCTTTGCTGAGCAACAGTTTTGTGTGAAAGGAATAAAAGACCCGTCCCAAACATAGGCCTGTTGAGTTCCAAGATTTAAGCAAATAAAAGCCCGGGCTACTAATTGAAATTTTATGGTAATAAGCATAATAAGCTAATTAATTACCAAAAAACAGTAATGGCTATAATTTTGCTTCTGATTAATGTGGAAAGTTTATCTAAGGTCCAAGTCCATGTTGGTGATGTCCAGAAAGCCACCTGTTACCATGAAACCTTTCCTAAAAAATGTAAAATAAATAAATAAATTAAAAAAAGGTCAAAATCCTTTTAGTCAAGTCAGAAAGGTGACCTTGGAGTTTAAATTTATGTTTCCACATCCAGAAATCCATCTTTTGTCCTGAATAAATCACGCAACCTTTTCTCATTAGCATGATTCGTAGGTGTGTAATGGTACACAAAGAGACTGTTACACGAGAGACGGACTGGTGACATGAGACTGGAAGTGTGTGTCACAATTTTGGTCTCAGCTTCAGATCTGTTACACCCCTAATAATGAGGTGTTTCTAACATCAGCCGATGTGCGAGGACATTTGCATGCTAGCAATGCTCAGTATAACCAAGTTTCACCTCAGTCAATTGTGAGTCACGTAAGCCAGTAATGGAAGAGTCTTTGAACTGTTTTTTTGTTTGTTTGTTTTTTTTACATAATTTATGCAAACTATGCTAATAAGGACAGGTTAAATGACTGCACCATGGTAACAGGTGGATCTTTGGACATCACAAACATGGACTAGGACCTTGGATCATCTTTCTAAATTGCTCAGAAGCAAAATTGTAGCCATTTCTGTTTTTTGCTAATGAAATAGCTTCATAAAAAAAGAAACAACATTTCTGGGTTCAAGAAATTTCCAGTCAACTATAAAGACTAATTGGTGCCATTACAAACTGTGCTCATGAAGTCCCACAAACACTCACATTCATGCCAAGACATGCAACTCAGGCCAGAGTTTTATGATTGTTTCTGAATTTTATGTAGAGTTGAAATGATTAAATGATTAAATCAAAAGAAAATGAATTCATTCATTCATGCATTCATTTTCCGTAACCGCTTATTTTTTTGGGGTTTTGGACAAATAGTTGGACAAAACAAGCTGTTTACATATGTCACTTTAGACTTCAGGGAATTGTACATCTCTTACTATTTTGTGACTTTTCACCGACCAAACAATCAACACTATTCTTTCACTATTCATTTGACTCGTACTTCCCCAGACTATCCATGAAGATGAACCATGAAGAACTAATATTTTGTTATTGAGTGCCAGGTGGACAAAAAGATACCAAAGATAATTTTACAAGCTCACAAAAGTGTGTAAAAAATGCAGGTCAAAAATTACAGACAGGGACATAACAACTTTTAACATTCTTGTTTCAACAATACAAGTGTAACGAAGCATTCAGGGTTTCTGTAAATGTGCGAAGAGCACATTATGACTTATTTAGGACTTGAAATTTAAAGTTCAGAGTGAGTAGAACAAATGGACAGAGGGAACTACAGTAAGGATGCAGCATATTGCTGGTTTGAGATCAACTATGACCTTGGAAAGATTCTGAACTCAGCAGCTCATAACCACTACACTTAAGTTGTAAACCCCAGCCATATTTACAGCAGCTGCATGTTGGCTTTTGAGAAGGCTGATCCTGACAGGGTTAACACCTCCAAAAAAATATGGCTCCGTGATGTCAGAGACCTGACAGTATACTAGTGGATGTAGTGAAAGGGAGGCCAGTTTGCAACAAAATAAACAGGTATGCTTCTGCAACCCCCACCCCTAATACATAGAAATAAAGCATTTCTGTAATTTAAAGAATTAATAAAGAATTTCTGCTAGGCAACCAGACCAATTATTTAACTGAGACAGGCCTTTATTTGTCAAAATTCATGTAGAAAAGTCACAAACTGTTTGATAACTTCCTGGGGGGGAGGATCCAAAAACACCTGTTTTATACATGTCCCCCTCATTGCTGAAACAAAAACCCCACCCTTGACGTTTCAAAGAAACATACTGTTTAACCTGGAAACTGTAGCATAGTGGCGCACTGGGGTCAGCTGAGACAGTTTCTTTTATAAGAACAGTGCTTTATGAATGCTTTTATGAACATAATAAAGATGTTTTAAACTGGAATGTGTTTATAACTTTTATACTGCCAAAAGAAACCCAACACACACACAGCCTTGATTGTGTGATGATGTCACAGCAAAGAGGGTTAACTTTCCTTAGGTGTTATGTAATAAGGGACTGTTCATCACTTATGAGAGGGAAGGGTGTGGTGTCAAAAGGAGGAGGCATGTCAAATAAGTTTTTAAGCACTGGAGAGGAACTTTTGTGTTTATTTTGGCTCAGGGGAGGCATACAGCTTTAAATAGCTGTGTTTCATGATTATTTTGCTGCCAATTTTTAAAGAAAACATGCCTTCAAAAATCCATAGGTATATTTTCCTTAAAAATACCCAAAATTACCCCATTTATCAAAGCCAGAAACTGGAAAAACAGAAATAAGTGTTGGATTTTAACATTTCTGACGGTCGTTGGACACATCCGTTGCAACTTAAGCAGTATTTATACTTTTGCATCAGTTCTATGCAGAGCCTACACCGTAGCCTACACACGTGAGCATTTATACTTGTGTGGTGGTGTGTCTGTGTCCCTCTACAGTTACAACTCCGAAACACCAGTTGGCAGCGGGGTTTCCGTGAAGTGCTGTAAAGTTTAGTTGATTCAAAAAACATGGCTTAAGAGAGACAACTTCAAACACAAGTACACAAATCAGCTTCACTATAACTCGCAGCATTCACAGACAAACACTTGTCTTTATCTGGACACATTTTCCCCACAAATACAACATGCTAATGTTTTTAGCACAAGCCTATGGCATTCTACATTGTGTAAATTAGCCTAACAGCTAGCAGACTTTTCCTCTTCTCATATGAAACCAGAGACAACAGCAACATTTAACAAAGGTAATTTTACAAATTTCGTCTCTAATACAACTCACAAGGTTCACTGACAAAACAACTGTCTTACACTAAACACGTTTTCCAAACAAATATAATATGCTAACATTATTAGCACAAGCCTATGGCGTTTTACATTGTATAAATTAGCCTAGCGACAAGTGGAGATTTCCTCTGTTCATATGAAGCCAAGATAAATCACACACAACACTTAAGATGCTATGTTAGTGGAGGCTTTATTGTCTTCATGATTTATTGTTTATCTGTGAAATTAAAGTAAATAAACCAAGGCTTTTTTCTAACTCCAGGATTTCGTCTTCAACTTTTAACTTTCAAACATCAAAGAGCGAGTTTTAAAAATGTAATGACTAATTTATGGTGGAGAGAGGGTCATGCATGTACCTCCAGTCACTCAGGGAGGCCTACTGAAGAATATTTGTGGTTTCAGGAGGGTCACACTCCAGCCATCCTCCCCCTCTGACAAGTAAAGAACAGTCCCTAACAACATACCAGCTGCAACACTGCTTTAAGCTGTGATTATGTGTGTGTGTGTGAGGCCAGGCTGGGGTGAACATACATGTGACGTATTTAATCTAAACAACTCTGAGAAAACACTTTGCATGATTACTCCACTGTGTGAGAATGTGTGATGTAATCACGGTCACATTTATCATGACAAAGAGGGTCAGTTACTGCCCGAGGAAGTTTAGGGCTCTACAGTTTAAAGTATTTGTCTTGATCTGCTTTCAAGAACAAAATAAACAGATGACGAGCACACCTTTAGATCACATTAATGACGTGTTGATCATGACGTACCAGAACATCACCACCATCAGCTCCTGCCAGAGAGGAGGTGCTTTCTTCCCGCTGATCCAGCAGCTGAAAGTGGACCCCTCGTGTGTGTGTGTGTGTGTGTGTGTGTGTGTGTGTGTGCGCGCGCGCTCCTCCTACCCCTCACTCCTCTCTCCGTTGGAAAACACAGTGCATTATTTGGCACCGAGGCGCACAGGATCCGCTGCCCGCCGCCGGGGACAGACACACAGAGACGCACCGGGAGCCTCGTGGCACAAACTCACCGTTAGAAAATGACCGTGGAGAGAATATTCGACGAGCTCGGACATTTCAAAAGGTATCAAACACTTACTGTCTGCACATGTTTCCTTTATTGTGTGAATGAATTTCGGGGTGTTTTTGTGGTATCATGAGCAGCCGGTTGGGGAGCTTTGGAACTTCTCAACTTATTTTTCTCCATGTTATGAATGCGTTTTGAAAACAAACATTATCAACGCAAAAAGAGGTCATCATTTTTACATTTCAGTACATGTGCAGAGTGATCATTTTAACGTGTTTTTCTGGCACACGCTCACCGATGAACTCGTGCGTAGATTTTTGAAAAATAACTTAAGTGTTGCAGTTGTTAAAATAACTATATGTATTTTTAAAAACTGCATGATTAATCCCATTTTGTGACATTTTAAGTGTGCCAAAAAGATAAAAATGCAGTTAAAATGCTGAAATTTTTACCAAATTTTCCAGTTTCTCCCTTGTTGTAAAAAAAAAAAACTGGACTGGTTTAACTTCTTAATTATTTGGGTTTTCTCACAAAGCACATGTCAAGTATGTTTTTTTTTAATGTTTCCTACAGCACAGCACACTGACATGCTACATATAGCTACATGCTGTTAAACAATAACACAACACTATACACAAATACAAAATCAAACAAAATATAACAGATGTGCAGCATAAATACAATAAAGTTTATTCATGAACCATTTTCCCTTGATAGGATCTTACAAAAATCCAGGGTCCATCATCTCCATGGTCATATTCACAAAGAGCCATAAAGTCTATAACCAATTATCTATATTAAAACAATTTGATTTGTGATTTCCAATTCATCTTCATGATATGTTATGTAACTTACATAAAAGCTACAGCCATAATGCAGTGTGTAAGCTCTCCTATCCTTGTGCCTAAGAGGCATGCTAATGGACGCCGAGGTATTTTCACATCCAATGTAGAAGACAGAAACATCTCACTGGGGGACAATGCATCAAAAATGGTTCTTGTGTGGTTTGTCCTTTTGTAGCCATAACAAAATATATTTGTTTCCACCACCATTGTTGTTTTAATCACTTGTTTTGTGGCTAAAAAGAACAGTTTACATTTCAAGACAGAGCATTTATATTACACAGTACGAGAGGGAAAAGGAGATTTCTGTTAAATCCAGTGCAGGTGGTGATGTACATTTGTTCACTGCACACATGGGCAGAGCTCTGAATTGTAAAGGTGGCAATTTTGCATTCATTCATACATTTTCTGAACTGCTTATCTTGTTGGGGGTCATGGGGGGCTGGAACCTATCCCAGCTGACAATGGGCGAGAGACAGGGAACACCCTAGACAGGTCACCTAGACTATCACAGGGCTGACACATAGAGACAGACAGACATTCACACTCACATTCACACCTACAGACAATTTAGAGTCACTAATTAACCTGCATGTCTTTGGACTGTGGGAGGAAGCCGGAGTACCCGAAGAAAACCCACGCTGACACGGGGAGAACATGCAAACTCTGCACAGAAGGGCTCCCCCAGTTCTGATTCTAAATCACTCATCATATCCTCTTCAGCTCATACAGCATATTTTAATGCATTTTCAATTCAATTCAATAAGCTTTATTGGCATGGCATTTCTTATGGCTACACATAAGAAATGCTATGCCAATAAAGCACAATTGCAATTTAACAGTTAACTACAATGTGTTATATCAAATGCACAGACATAAATTTGAAAGGAGAAAAAAGAAAAAACTCATTAAGTGAAGCAGTAAATAAAAAGGCAGAGTGCGATCTGTGATGAGATGAACTATATGCTGTTGTGTTGGTCGTCTCTCAGGCTGTGACATGCATTAACACTGACATGCATTCTCTGTCTCTCCAGATTTCAGGCATGCCTGTACTTTGCAGCAGTCTTCCAGGCCATAGCTTGTGGGATCCACTACCTGGCCTCGGTCTTCTTGGTGCAGACGCCAAACTTTGTGTGCAGTGCACAAGGCAACATCACTGATGTCCTGTATGGTAACCTCACGGCATCTAGCTTGGAAGAAATCCTGCCAGTTTTCAAGCCGGGGACCGGGCCCCTGGTGGTGAGGACGGCTGAAGGAGATCAGTGGGAGCTCAGCCAGTGCCGCTGCGCCTTGCGCATGAACCCAGAATCCTTCACGTATAACTTTGATGGCAACAAGACAGTGAAAACCTGCAATGGGAACTTTATTTATGACCTCACTGAAGTTCACCAGAGCATAGTGACGGACTGGGACTTGGTGTGTGAGAAGGAGTGGTTAGCCAAGCTGTGCCAGCCCACCTTCATGGTGGGGGTGCTAATCGGAGCGCTGGTGTTCGGGGACATTGCAGACAGGTAAGCAGGATGGAGGAGGAGGCAGATGGGTACTGTAGGGTAAATTATATCATGTAAGACACGTGACGTAGTTTCACCATGCCAGGAAGTTCTTTTCACGTGTGCACAGAAACAAGAGGTTAGATTGAGAGAGCGTGCCTTTATGATCCTTTACACATGTAGTTATAACTTCAGGAGACATCACTGCTCTTCTGCCTCAACATGATACTGTCCTCTCATGCCCAGTCACTGATATGTGAGCTGAGTGTGCACTTACGGTCGCCTGCTAAGCATGGAGGCATGAAGCATGTGGGGAGGGGATGGTTAGAGTGACAAAAGTAGATGGTTGTTGTGGACGATGGGATTGGAAGTATGACAGACAGGAAGGGAGAGGAGATGAATGTGACAGATGACCCGGTCAAACAGTCCAGCCAAAACTGAAGAGGTCAGCATTTAGGAGGAGGACTTTGGTCTCGAGTCGAGGGTATGCTAGCTTTGATTTCTGCCCAACTATCTCATAAAGTGAGGAATAAGTGCTGATGGTGGTTAATATTTTGGATTAATTATTCATCATCACACCTCACTGATCTTGTGTTTTTATCCATGGTCTTATGGTTGAATGCCTCAATGGGCTGGGCTTTGTCCAAGTCTTTGTCCCCATGGCTCACACTGTGAGGTCAAGTTTAACTGAGCAAGCAGAGAGAAGAGGAGCTGGAGCATCTCTGCCATGTTCAAAACAAAGTGCCACCCCATGTTTATGTTATACTCTGAATCAGACGAATAAACGCTCCAGCTGGTGGGTGATGTAATGTGAGCTTGGCTATTTTTACACAGAAAACAATATGGTGGCCAGCTGGTAACAAACACTCTTGAATAACAGTTGAACAGTAAGCTAAAATATGTTTCTGAAAACCTTTTAGGAGAGACATAGGCAACACAGTAACAGAATCTTAGGTCATATTTGATCAACACTGCTTCGTTTTACTGTTTGAGCTCAGTTTTCTCAGCCTATGTTTAAAACTACAGGAAACATTAAGGCTTCACAAATTCTCGTATAAAGCCAAACAGTGCACTAAAATATGTTTCCGAAGACAATGCCTACCTATTAGCAGACTGACCCTGCTGTGCAGGAACCAGTGAAGGGAAGCAGGAAAACTTTTCTGATATTCAACCAGCTCTGTGTCATCGCAGTGTTGAGTTTTTTTGGCTTCATGCACTACTGAGCAGCTTACCTAGGAATGAATGTGGCCCCACCTCCAGTGTTGTACCCAGGTCTTTTTATGCATCCATGGCAACAGCCCTAGAAACAGCAAAAATGCACTGGGTGATGCGTCATTTGAGCTAAGAGATGAGCAGAGAGGTCTGGGCTCTGGTAAAATGGAGGGAACTGTACCACTGATCATTTACACATACTACTCACACTGTTTTGACACAAAGCTGGTTGAAAATTGGCTGAGTATCCTTTTAATGCATCTCTTACCTGAACATGTCAACTCAGTCACTTTATCTCTCTGTCTTTCTCTACCTGCATTGGTACCTCTGTCCTCCAGACTTGGCCGTGTGAGGATCCTGATGTTCACCAGTCTCTGCCAGTTTGGACTCGGAGTGGCTGTGGCATTTTCTGGAAACTACTACTTTTTTATGGTGCTCCGCTTCCTCCTCGCCATGGTGAGTTCAGTGTGTGTACTATACGCTGTATGTGTGCTTATCATATGTGGTTGTGTATCCGTATGTGTTCTTGCATGGCATGGTTGGTGCAGGTGGGGAAATGACTGATCTATGTCAAACTTCTAGTACATTAACACTAACGTTAGAGGTCTCCTTAGAGGTCTCAGCGGCTGTGGCTGAGAAGGAAGAGCAGGTGGTCCATTAATGGGAAGATTAGCAGTTCGATTACCGGCTCCTCCAGTCTGTCAAAGTATACTTGGGCAAGATACTGAACCCCAAATTGCTCCTGATGGCTTCTCCATTTTGCAAAAACATTTTCAAAACAGTAGTGGCTGTCATTTTGAAAACCTGTCACAAACACTTGAACCCAAAGCCAGTATGAGACAAAGGAGGTGCCTTACTTTCCACTCCCTGTTTGCTAACAGACGTGCTTCATTTGGATCACCATGTGTCCAATTTCTAGATGTTTTTCTACAAAACAATTTCTCAGCCAATTGCTATGAATACCATATCCTGTTAGTCATAATGCAGTCTATCCAACACGCAAACTAAAGCAAGATGTGTGTCCTAGCTGTGTATAATAAGAATTTAACTCACTGTGACAGTGAAACTTTAACTCTACAGTTCTGCCTCCTTATGTGCTGGGAGGGCACCATCTGTGTTTCTGCATGTGGGTTTCTGGCATATGCATTTACATTAACATCAGCTGAGTGGATGTTCTTGCACAAGCTGTTTGGTAAAATGTAAACATCTGATTTCGTCCTACAAATTCAACCAGGTCCCGTACTGCTAAAGGTCAGGTGGTGCAACAGTCAAAGAAATGTTCAAAGTAGGCAATGAGAAGGAATTCAGGGGATAAACAGCTTTAGAACAAGAAAGTAAGAGTGTCTTTAATGTGTCTTTGTGTGCGCACATTGGTGTTTTTGTGTGAAGAGTAATATGTGCATAAAACACCATGTTTACAAGGTAGAGGAAGGGAGTCATTATGGTTAAGGTTAGTCCGCACAGCAGTGAAGTTGTGCCGAAAGAGCCCCCACAGTTAGTCCCCTGTTTCACTCCTCGCCGTCTTCTACCATCCCCCCCAGTCCTCCTCAGCTACAGCTGTTGTTTTTCACATAGGCTCTCTGATAGTGAAGGCACATGCTGCACAGCCACGCTAAACCCAGTCCAGACTCGGTCTTAAAAACAGGGACTTAACACCTGATTACTGCCACATGTAATTCACTGAGTTTAAAAGAGATCTGACGCAGAAAACAACATAAAAAGTCCCCTTTTCCCAAAAATAGGATAGACTTTATAGTCCCAGTGGGAAAGCTGCCTCGAACTTAGTGTCTGCAGTATAAAACAGTAAAAACAACAATACATCCATCAATTGCACATGTCCATCTGCACCATCATAAAAAATAAACACATATTACAATGAAACTGTGCCTTGACTGGACTGACTTGTTCAGTGCAATGTTTTCAAAGAAGTGTTTTCACATTCCTTTACTAAAGTGGAAACGTTCTGCTCTTCCCTGAAATGTCAAATTCAAATGTACTCCTGGCAAACTAGATTAAGTACGTCACCCGTTTGAAAGCCAATCACTGTCTAATACAGACAACACCATTTGTCAGGGGCAGGGGCTTAAATATAGACAGTGCAGGCAATGCTGTTGCACTGGGGGGACAGAGAATGGGCCTTTGCGAGTGATTCAGTTTGCTACCTCAGAAATACGTTTGGCTTCAAAGAACACACGTTGAAATACAAATGCTGTTTTCTGCTATATATGCCCTTGAGAAGGCAAACGCTTCTCCGTCAATCTTTCTTTTTTTTCTTTGTTTTTACAAAAACTATATGAATTATAAATAAACTATTTAAAAAATCCATGGAATGAATAATTTCTTATTTTATTTGGTGTCTTTGTCATACACAGATTTGCAGGGATGATTGGTAATATGTATGTTGATGCTGTCCAACGTCAAGTCTGTATTTGATCATGTTATAGTACTATAAAATGCTGCATATGGTAGCTGTTTCGATGCAAAATCTGGCACAACGGCCCGTCATAATAGTGTGTACTGGGCCTCATCATAACTACCATATGCCACTGGTCAGGGGATACAACACCAGCAAAGAAACTTGAAACTTTCAGTGTAGAGCGGACTCTTCAGTAGCCTACATAGAGCCTAGTTAGCATTAGCATATTTAAAGTTTTGGCATCAAACATGGTAAGGTGTGTAGTTTTGGGATGTAAACTGGATCCTGGAGCTTCCTTCCACTATCTACCAAAAACCACATAGTAGCGCATATTGTATGTTTCACAAGCACTAACGCTGTGTTAGCCTCTGTCAGTTAGCCTGCATGCTAACAAGCTAATAAGCAACAAACATGGTAGAGTGCGCAGTTTTTGGATGTAAACGAGACCAATGTGAATACACTGTCAAATCAGCCACTGCCAGTTACAAGCTAACAAGCTAACAAAACAATATATAAATAAAGGATGCTAATTGCACTTCCCATTCTGATATGTTTGCTAATCTCCGATTTTGGTGCACAACAGATTCCTCATCTGAGTCTGGGCCTGACTAAGACCCAAACATGTATGGCTGAATCCGACATTGCTTGCTCTAACACTAACACTGGCCATCTTTATGCACATTGGTCTTTCACTGGTGAAACAACCCCTTGTCTTGCATTGCCAGAACTGTCTCCACACTTGGCTTCTGTGCTGTGGCAGAAAGCAGAAAGCGAAACCTCCAATTTTCAACTGTAAAGCAAGACTATGTAACTTGATACTTGATTTCATAAATGATCACTTCAATACACTCAGTGGTTTTGCTGCTCTAGTCTTACTCAGTCTTGTATTGTATTTTTTTTTACTTCAGTCAGGACCACTTAAGTCAAAGAAAACTTCCCATTTGCAGTTTTATATTTGGTGTTATGGCTCTGTTCTGGGGCCTCTGCCGTTCCTCAAGCCTACGCAGAAAGCCTCTTCCACGCGCCTACACGGAAAGCCGTAAGGCAGAGAGAGCACACATCCCTGCCCTTCCATACACCTACGTGGAAAGCCTAAGTCAGAAAAGGAGGAACTGGGGTGGAGGCAGGTTGCAAAGCAGCTTGCAGAGGAAGCTGCAACAGTAGGCAGGCCAGAGCAGTTTAAATAGGGCGCCCTGAATGAGATTCGTCAATTGGTTGCATAGAAAGGAATCATGTAATCTATCAGCTGACTCCCATCAATCAGCTGCTCCATCAGTTGACTGGTCTGTTCGAGATCAGCTGATGTAGCTGGGATGTGAGCTGAGCTTGACATCGTGTCCTCTCTTCCTCTCATCTTTGCATCTGGCAGGTATCAAGTGGCTACCTCGTGGTGGTGTTTGTCTACGTCACGGAGTTCACTGGCATCAAGGTTCGCACGTGGACTTCTATGCACGTGCACGCTGCCTTCGCTGTGGGCATCATGGTGGTGGCTCTGACCGGTTACCTGGTGCGGGTCTGGTGGATCTACCAGATCATCCTCTCCACGTGCACCTCACCCTTCCTGCTCCTCTGCTGGAAGTTCCCTGAAACGCCCTTTTACTTGGTGGCCAAGGGCCGTTACAAGGAAGCTCAGTCCCTGCTGGACAAGATCGCCCGCTTCAACGGCCTTCAGTGCAAGCTGAAGGTGCAGGAGCTCCTGGAGCCAGAGGGGAAGGTGAACAGCAAACCTCTGCTGGAGGAGGCGGAGGAGTGTCCAGTGCAGTCCGAGAAGAAGCTGTCCATCCTGGATCTGTTTGGTAGCTGGAGGATGGCGGGCCGCACGTGCACAGTGTGGGCCATCTGGTTCATTGGCAGCCTGGGCTACTACGTCTTCTCTTTGGGCTCAGTCAACCTAGGAGGGAACCAGTATGTTAACCTCTTCCTGGCTGGTAAGTGATTGGCTGATGAGTGTGAAAGTGCATTAGGTCATATTTAGTGTTTGCGGGTGGATTGTTGACAGCGGTTGTGCTGCTTTACAACATGTGGGTTTTAAATGCAAAGTGAGTTCATGTCTGTGTGTCTTTACTCCGTTATATGAGTGTGTGTGCAGTATGGCTGTTTACCAAATTCAACAGGGCACTAATTAAAGCTGTCTGGGGATCTCAGCTTCAACACTTTACTCTGTTTGCAGTGTTTGTGCTGTATGCTTACATTATAAACTATCATGTTCGTCTATATTAGTTAGGATAATATTACGTCAGTGTGAAGGCAGTGAAATCATTTCTGCTCTCCAGTTTAGCTTTGTTTACTGCTCTGTTTTTGGTAACGTAGAAGGTCAAATAAGCCTGCAAGCAATTAGAAGAACAGCTCTCCATCTGCGAGCTTAATAGTTTCCCTGTGTTTTTTTCATCTGATAAAGAAAATTAGATTTGCATCTGAATAAACATTTTTCTGTTAAACAAATCAAGAACTGTTGTATTGTTTAATACTATTTTGAAAGCACAGGGTTTTTCCCAGACAAATATTATTCCTCACAAAGGCACATCTTAAACACTTCATATGTTACTGGGAATAACATTTGATCAATTCAGCAGATTACATGCGGTATTTAAATTCAATTTACTTGGTCTTTTTTCCTCTGTATACTTAACAGAAGACACTGATTAAATTTTCTTCCCCTTAATGTCCAATGGGAACATTTATAATCCCCACTTATTTGGAGCACATCTGAGTGCCTGAGCTTCACCAGCACTGCAGATGCCAGTTATTTAGGTCCCAAGATAGAATGTCTCAGTGTCAGTGTGCCAGGGTCACGATAACCTCTGACCAACAGCTGCTGTGATGGGCTCTTTCCAGGTGCAGTGGAACTTCCCTCCTATCTAGTTGGCTGTTTTGCAATGGACCGGATTGGCAGGAAGAAGACTTGTGCCCCAGCTCTGCTTCTGGCCGGAGTCGCTTGCATGCTCATCATTGTGGTACCTGCTGTACGTACTGAGAGTGTGTGTGTGAGAGAGAGACAGTATGTCTGAGAGAAGTGTTTGAATTGTTAAATCTTACTTCACGATATTGCACACACACATCAAGACTTTTATTTTTTGAGGTTATTTAACTACTGGCTCCAACCATAGACTGTATATAGAAATGGACGATACATCCCCACATAGCACACATACATCGGGCCGACGTCATAGATCGTTAAGACGTAGCAGGGAGAGCGTTTGCTCATTGCCAAGACATCGCTGAGACGTCGGCCTTTAATCGAAAATGACCACCACGCGACGTTCAAACGATCAATAATAGAAGCTGCGCTCAGTAGGCGCTCCTTCATTAATATTCATATGCTTCGTTAACTACGACCTTTATTCATTTAAGTCGGACCTTTCAAACTACAAATATTTCACCATTCAATGTGAGAAATTAATTCTAACATTCAAAAATAGCTGACTGTTACCCTATTTCGTGTGTAAGTGTGCACAATGAAGAGACAAAAGTCAATTTGACAAACTTTATTTTCAAATTTCCACAAACAATATCTGATGGCCAGTCCGCTTCTCCTGGCAGCCTGCAAGAGACAGAAAAGACGATGAGCACGTAACTTCAAGAAACAAATCCCAACTTCACCACTGTATGTTTTTTTTTTTAGCATTTCAGCTGTCTTTTAGCCAGATTGAAGGCTTTGGGTCCGTCACTCTCCTTAATTTAGTGTTGAAACTGCTAAATAACGGGATCCGGTGTTAACTCCGTTAACTGTTAACAGCAGCTCAACAATCAGTCCTTCATCTCGGAAAAACAGTGGTTTCAAAACTGCGCTATTACCTGTAGCCACTGGGTCAGTTTGCTTTGCAGAGGAGGAGACCTCGACTGATAAATTGCCCATAAAATCACATTAACAACATACCGAAGGCATCCTTAAACTTCACTATTTCAATCAATCAATCAATTTTATTTATAAAGCCCAATATCACTAATCACAATTTGCCTCACAGGGCTTTACAGCATACGACATCCCTCTGTCCTTATGACCCTCGCAGCTGATAAGGAAAAACTCCCCAAAAAAACCCCTTTAACGACCCCTTTTATTTGACCTCCGCGCTCCTCTCTGCTCTTCTCACCCACACTTGAGCACCCGTTCTGGGATACACAGCGTTGGCCCGCCCCGCCTGACCTCCGTAGTCCTCTGCGCTCTTCTCACCCACACTTGAGCACCCGTCCAGGGCCCCGGAGGTCAGGCCGGGGGGCCGCGGGACCATGGGTGGCAGCTCCGGGCACTTCCACTTTAACCCAAAATGAGTGCTCACGATAACCAGATGAGCAGATAACGTCAACTATGGAAAATAAAATGAAAACACCACAGTTGTAGCCTGTTAGCTAACATGAGCTAAACCGCTAAACTAGCTAACAGCTAACGAAAGATAACGTTAGCTGGTGGGGACCTGTGCTATATACACCCAGTCGTGCCTCGCCACTCACCAGGAACCTCTTTTAACGGTCACAGAAGAAACAACATAGCTATTTTCTGCCAATTTATTCCAATTAGCTTACCTGAAACCAACTGTGATGAGATGCTGTGTCCTGCGAGCTCAGTTCCAAACAAACACCGCAGACATTCTACGGTACTGGGCCGACCCAAAGCCGACGTAACAGAGACGTTTGATGAGCTGGGACAAAAGAATATTAAATTTAAAGATATCCGCCCATGCGGCCGACGCTTGTCAGACGTTATAAATTCAGGACCGATATGTTGTCCTCAGGCCAATGTCGGCCAGATGTATGTGTGCTATCTGGGTCTCAACTTCCTCCCACTGTATGACAATGAAGCCAAAATATCCTGGATTCAGCCATTGCCATCTATGCTGGTGATGTCATTTGGAGCCAGAATCTGAGCAGTAGTGATCTCTGCGGTATCGTGTTCCCACCCATACACCCATCCAACCAATTCCGAGCAACACCATTAATCAGAAGCACGCCGTTTGTCACACACAGCTGTCAGCCATGTCGTCAAACCACCTTTTAATAAGTAGTTATAACCAAACTGACCAGCTAAACAAACACTTGGAATTACATCAGCATGATAAGAACTACCTAAAATGACAGCTACCATTTTTGGTAAACACGTTGACGTGTACTTTGATTTTTTAGTTTGACACGTGTCCCATCCGCTGACAGGTGGGGTTTGTGGCGCGGTTTGTGACCTGTACTGCAGTGTGCCAGCTGTCATGTGTGGGAGCTGTCATGTCATCTATCTTTTTGTACAATCTATGGCTCGAACACAATTTATAGTCGCTCCACAAGAAAAAAACAAACATAAATATGAGTTTAAAAATTCAAGTTTATAACCAGAATTCTGTTCCAAACTTTTCATCCGTATTTGACCCTAAATTAAGAGGAATTGGCCAGGTGCTACTCAAATCATTCTGTCACATTAAATGCATTAAATTAACCTTTAAGTAAGAATCGGTACCACAGGCAATCTGTAATATAGGGCTCTTTTAAAGGGACAGTTCACCTCAAAATCAAAAATACATATTTTTCCTCTTACCTGTAGTGCTGTTTATCAATCTATATCGTTTTGGTGTGTGTTGCTGAGTGTTGGAGATATCAGCCGAAGAGATGTCTGCCTTCTCTCCAATGTAATAGAACTAGATGATGCTCGCTTGTGGTGCTCAAAGTGCCAAGAAATACATTTGAAAAACTCAACAGCAATGTCTCTTTCCAGAAATCATGACCCGGCTACTCAAGATAATCTACAGACCTTGTTGTGAGCAGTTTCATGTAGGAACTGTTTTCTTTCTACCAAACTAACTAACCGTATCACTGCGCAGAAGGAAGCGTGCATCTACTCATCTTACAGGTCAACTAACTAATTAACTTATAAGTAATAACTAACTAACAACTTTACCACAAGCAGCAATTATCATCACCCTGTCATGTTTACCTCGAGGTAAACAATAACAAATAGCAACAATTCTAATCTAAACAGCAGTTCAGTACTGCTAGCACCACTGAGCTAGCTAACGTTACACTTCATCCGAGGAGAATGTCATCAATATTTACATCTCCTTCTGTCACAAACAAGAGTCTTCCCGTCCATGAGTAGATGCACGCTTCCTTTGGCACAGTGATTCAGTTGGCAGGTGTAGATCGGTAAGAAGAAAATAGTTCCTACATAAAACTGATCACAACAAGGTCTGCGCGGGGTGTCGGTGGCTTAGTGGTAGAGCAGGCGCCCCATGTACAAGGCTGTTGCCACAGCGGCCCGGGTTCGACTCCATCCTGTGGCCCTTTGCTGCATGTCACTCCCTCTCTCTCTCCCCCCTTCACGCTTCCCTGTCCTGTCCATTAAAGGCTAAAAATGCCCGAAAAAATATCTTTAAAAATAACAAAACAAAAAAAACAAGGTCTGTGGAATATCTTGAGTAAGCGGGTTATGATTTCTGGAAAGAGACATTGCTGTTGAGTTTTTCAGATGTCTTTTTTGGCACCTTGAGCACCATAAGCCGAGTGCCATCTAGTACTTTTATAGGCCAAAACAATCTAGATTAATAAAGAGCACTTAAAGTAAGAGGAATAATATCTTTTTGATTTTTGGGGTGAACTGTCCCTTTAAAGTATTGTCTCTTACACCATCGGCTCTTGAGTTTACTGTCCTAACATTACCATTGTTCCTTTTGAACCTTGATATACGACCCATGCAGTCTCCTCTGTGTGTGTTGTGAGCTCTGCCCCAAATTAATACTGCTTATGGTCGGGTTGTGAAACAGCTGCCGCTAACGTCCAAGTAAATATGACCTTTGACATTGAAAACCATTCTGAACGGAGCGGTGAACAAGAGACGAAGGGAGACAGGACAGGAAAATCCATGTGCAGGCTAACATGGCCTCTTACATACCAGAGTGTATGCAATCTTCTTTGGTAAATAACATGGACAAATATGGCTTACCTTAGCAAACATACCACAGTCTCTATGTATGACAGAAGAGTTCTACATGGGATTGAAGTGTTATGAAACACTTACATGAAAAGTAGAACTCTTAGTGGCGGGACAGATGTACAGAGGACACTCACATTCTTTTGTTATCCAATCAAACAAGTGCACAAGCAGCCAGGTCCAGCTCGCCTGGCAGTCTGTTGTGATAAGGATAGATTATCTCCCCTTCCTTCCCTTTTAGTTGCTTCACTGTGCAGTGCAGTCAGTTTGTACACTTCCTCGACCACTGGTGTGAAGGTTTAGATAATGTCTGAACCTCATATCAGTGTGTGATGCTGCATGTTCAGCATATACATGATTTAATTCATATTTACCAGCCACAACAACATTGTGAAGGGTGGTATTGTTTTCACCTCGTAAGTCTGGGTGTGTGTGTGTGTGTGTGTGTGTGTGTGTGTCATCATGGCAAAATGTGGTCCTTGTGACACCAGTTGTAGCAGGAACTACCACAGAAGCAGCCTGGTGAGCCCATCCTGATGACGTGAGTTCAACATTATGTTTGCTTTCTGTATTTGTCTGGACTCAATGCCGCTCCAAACACTTTCAAGGGGCGGGAGAACACTACCCAGACAAACTCCTTCAGCCACTCAGGGTAACAAAACACTGGGAAACATCTTTGTCACCAACTGAGCCAGTTGATAAATCAAGCTTTTGCCAAATCCATCTGGAAGAACGCTAAAATATCCCCCCCCCCCAGCATACTTTTGTTCTTTTTAAACTGTTATTGACCTGATTTCTGCAATAACCTCACTTATTGCTGTGTTTACTCTACTAATGTAAGAGTTGGTACTTCTTGTTTTGGGAGCTGCCATTACTGTTCTGCAAGCCAACCCAAGTTGACATGTGAACTCTGCAGGCAAACATTTGCCTATCATTTGTCAACTACAAACATGACGTATCATGTGAAACATGTAAGCAGCTACATGCCCATTAGCCACTTAGCACAATCATTACTGCTTTGCAGACAGCGTCATTAACAGGCGGCTCGCTCAGTGTGTGACGTGCACTTGTAGATAAAATATAGGCCTATATTAATGAAGGTTCATTAGTACGGTTTTGTATTTCTCTGTAATGTAGCACAGTGTTAACAATGTTACTGATACTTTTCTTTCTCACACCTTCAACTCAAACCATTGTGTTGCCCCGCACAAAATATATCATTTAATAAATAAATTAATATTGTAAACATGCGGGCGACTAGTCGACTAATGGCCCTAAATGACGACTATTGGTCGACTAGGAAAATTCTTAGTCGGGGGCAGCCCTACAGCTTATGTTGTCAGCTATAGTGTGGATCCCTGATTGGCCTCAATTGGAGTTTTCTGGAAAGTATTTGGGAGCGGCACTGAGTCCAGACTGATATGGACAGCGAAACAGAATGTTGAGTTCACGTTATTAAGGTGGTCCTACTCGGCTATTACAGAAATAGTTTCGAGTGATTTGTCAGGTGTTTCTGTGTCTGTCTGATTTGGACATATTTTGTCACCGCAATGGCATCGCACCATTGCATCATGCAGTTAGGAAACCTTACAGATGTTTAGTTTAGATCAAAATGGATAAGGTCATTGCTTCTCCACTTAATGCCCTTGGCCTACATTGTTATACTGTAAGTCACAGATCGCTGTTTTGTGGCTGGAGTGATCCCATCACAAGATGGGCTCTTTAGTGCTTATGTGGTCTAAGTCCGGGTAAAGTAAGATCTAAGGTTAACATATAAACACATGTTAGAAAACACACAATGGGGCAACCTTTAGCATAAACCTCGCCCCTACAGTTTATAAGAACAGGAGCTGTTGAATTTGTTGTTGTTTGAAAAAATAAATAAAAAGTACCAGTCTGTTGCAGACTGACAAAAATTAGGTTGATTTTCGGACAGGTCAGTGTCCTCTGACTCCGACTTTGATTCTGGAAAATGCGAGGTCAGGCCCTGGTTGCTACGCTTGTGGCTTTTTTGTGCCAGCTTTCAAGTGTACGGGAGTAGGTTGCGTTTGAGGTTGCTAAGCAACCTTAATAAATGCTGAATCTTAGCCTATTTACCTGAAATCATGAGTGCAGAGATGATCTTCTTCCAGGCACTGTTTGTGTGTCAGCCAGTGTTGTAACAGAAACACGTGAGGTCCCCCGTAGCTAACCCTAGTGATGTCAAAAGAAAACAGGATTGAAACGTGTTTGCTTTATTGTTATGCCATCTACTCTGGACACACAAAAGGATCACAATGTGCTCCTATGTAATTTAAAAAGAGTCAGGACGCTGCTTTCACACCCTGAAAAATAGGCGCATGGGAACTGATGCGCACTGTGTGGTATTGCTCTGGCGTCACTCTGGCGTTTGAATGCGTCTACATTAAGAACAATGAATTTGAGGGTGCAAAAATGCGGCATGTGTACAGCACCTTAAAGAGGCTGCAGCCTCCCTGTGAGTGGGCGGGGCTTCAGCACATTCCACAGACACGCCCCCAGCCTGTCAGAGCAGAGAATACTACCTGTTTTCTCATGATTCTGAAACCTTATTTTATATACTTGAAGACGTTTTTTAAATCATTCAAATTTGGCTTGGTGCTTAATAACACCTTTATCTGTGGTGTGACAAACTCATTACACATATTTATTTTTGCTTTACCCAGACTGTAGGAATCTGTCCGACATTTGAGTATTATGCTGATTCACTTCCCAGCTGACAATTAAAAAAGAAGACTGATACCACTCTGTGGGGTGAACATGAAGCTACACCCCAGAGCCTGTCATCTTACCCTAGCTTAGCATAAAGACTTGGAAACAAAGAGAAGCAGTTAATTTGGCTTCTTATGCCAGCTTAGGTTTTCAGCTCTCAACTTCACACTGGTTGCACTTTTTGTATATGTCCTATAGGTCTTTCTATAGATCTTTGCACAATGGGCTCTTCTGTTCTGGGCCTGAGTTGCTGGTTGAGCAAGTTTCTTTGTAAGTTTCTGAAGATTTGTAATGCAACACAGTCAAAACCTCACTCTCTCAGAAAGTACCCTTAAAAATCTCTTTTCATTGTGGCTTAGTGCTCTTGCTTTTGAATGCTGTGCTTGTCTACATATACACAGCTACACTGTACTGAATTAGTGAGGGAGTTTCGGTAATCAACCTCCAAGCGTTTACACTTATTACAGGGGCTTTACTCACCATATCTGTATTACATCCAAATAGAAACACTGTACGTTTTACTAAGCACCACATACTGTCAGCACACAATTATAGCTTTTTAGCAGGTCTGGCATCTGCAGGATGAAAACAAAATCACTCCCACCACCACCAACTTCTTGTAATAGAAATAAGACACCAGTGTTTAGGCTCAGATGGGCAGGAGGCTGCTCCATATAAGTATATTGCTAGCTCTAATTACACACCATAGCACGACAGACTCATTGAAAGATAGAATAATAAACATGTTTATTCCAAAGTAAAAGATAGTTGGATTCAGCCCAGCAGTCAAATAATAGCTTATTTGAAGTGGATCACCTCACACAACACCTCCCTCCTCTCTGAACGTCGGTGTTGTTGTCTGTATATGTTGCGTCATAGCAACAGACTGACTTAGTTCTCTAGGTGTTTGTAAGAGAAGCACTGGGGCTTTTAAGGTCACAGCTCACTTTCCAAGAACATCTTATTTGCATGCACATGTGGTATACCATTACAAACCAGCACTGTGCAGCTGTAGGTGCCATTCAAAAAAGTGTATATGGTGCATATATGGATGTCTAAAAGTTTTCTTCAGCTGAACTCAGCACGTTACTTAACAAATTCTGCCTTTGGCTGGTCCCCTATTGGATAATATCAAACCTGTTGCAAGAAATCTTGGAGTCCGGTTTGACAGTAATTTAAGTTTTGGGCATCAAGTCACAAAGGTTGTGTTTTTATCATCGTAGAAATATTTTGAAAAAATTACAATCAATTTTAACTTCTACACACCTTCACACCTGGATCCCTGCAACAGCCTCAGAGAGCCTTTCCTGATTTTACTTGAGTTTTAAGTTTGTTTAAACTGTCTTTTATGTCCTCGATTTCATACGCTGGAGTGTTTTCTAATTCTTTTAACAGGCCATGCAGGACATCATTATAAATAGTGTTTGCACACATTAAATATGTAGATACACATATGAATACATGTATGTACAATTACAAAACACTTCAACTCCCATTCCATTAAATATGTGCACAAATGAATTTAGTATCTGCCATGTCCATGGATATTTTCTTTATTTCACACACATGCTCACTCACAGTACACATGCATGCAAAACTGTTTAGTTAATAACTAAACAGTTTTGTTTCTGTGTTGCCACAAATTATAATATTGAAGTAAATTCATTCACTTTATTAGATCACTTATGAGAAAATGTGATAAACAGAATTAAGTCAGGGTGAGTCTCAGTTCGAGGAGTGCTGTGAGAGAATCTGTGCTCTTGTTTAAAGCTTGACTATTAGTGGAGTCAGTGAAGGTCAAGTGTTTTATTTTTGTGTATGATGGAATCAGCTGTAACATCACTCAGAGGGTAAAGGTTGTTACAGTAAATTTTGCCCTTCAAAACGATTCACAAACGATGTGAAATATATGCAACTAAAGTGTCTGTTTACTTCACTGTGAAACATGGGATAAACATGGGAAGTTTTTGTTTCGCTGTTCAACAGACTTCTTTCCCGTTTCCACAGGACATCGAAGCGTTGGCCATCGCTCTCTGTATGACAGGGAAGTTCGCCATCGCTATCGCCTTTGGTCTCATCTACCTGTACACCTGTGAGCTTTACCCAACCATCATCAGGTGAGAGCCAACAGAAACAAAACACCAGTGTTGGGAAAGTTACTCTCAAAATGTAAGACGTTACATATTACTAATTACCTTCATGTTAAAGTAATAAGTTACTTTACAATATTGCTCTCTGTGTAGAGTGATAAGTAACTTATTACACTACTTTCGCTTTACTTTTACCAAAATGACCTTAGAACAGGGAAGTCAAACTCATTTAGTTCAGGGGACACATATTTGATCTCAAGTGAGCCGGACGTCTGAAACCATTGCATAATAACCTATAAATATTAACCCCTTCAAATTTTTCTTTCTTTCTGAAAACATTTCGTCCATTTACCAAACAAAGAGGAAAGAAAAATTATGTGCAAATTCAACAATATGTCTGTTTTTCCACATTCAGATGGCCTACTACTCATTCCATGTGACTTTTTGTCATAATTTTCTACTAAAGTGGAAGCTACTGACGCAGCAGTATGTATACAGCATGTTTCAGGGATTCACGTGGCGTCGGATAATTCGTCCATCTCCTCAGAGAGCAGGTGAAGTGTAACGAGCTAGGGAGGGGGACCGGGGGCGACAGGAACCCAGAAAAAAAGTGCTGATGACACTGCAGGATGTAATCATTAATGGCGCCCTCCTCGGCTTAGCTTTACTGTTAGGTTGCTACCTAACAGGCTAGGTGAGCTAGCAGCAGATTTGGGCTTCTTTCTGCGTGGTGATACTGTTGGCAGGTGTAGTTCAGTAGAAAGAAAAATATGAAAATAAACAGCACTACAGTTAAAGCTACTCTTACCTTTCTTACATTTCACACAGCACTTAGAAAAAATTTGAACATCCACAACTCCACCTCCCTCCAAAGGCCTACTCCCCCCTCTTCCATTTTGTCCTCATTATGTCTGTGATAGACGTAGGCGTTGGCAAGGTAACGTTAGATACACGGAATAGGAGAGCGAGTGTAACGTTACAGCCAAGACAGTCAAATGCAACCCCGGAGTTTTAAAACTCAACCAGAGTCAGTGATTACTGATGAGTTTTAGAATAAGTTTACAGTGCTAACGTTAGATAGTAGCGTTAACGTTACTAGTAAGTGGAACGCAGGAGGAAGATAATATTAATGTTTCAGAGGCTACACTACAGTAGGCTAACTTTAGCCGTTAGCAACTGGATGCCTTGTTGTCATATATAACGTTATATGTTATATTAGAAGCAAACTAAACATAACATTACCTGTCCTGCCGAGTTTTGAAACTTATCCGGGGTCAGTGATGGCTGATGAGTTTTAGAATAAGGTTACAGTGCTAACGTTAGATAGTTGCGTTAACGTTACTACTAAGTGGAAACGCACAAGGAAGATAACGTTAATGTTTCAGAGGCTACGCTACAGTAGGCTAACGTTAGCCATTAGCAACTGGATACTGTGTTGTCATGTAACGTTATATGTTATATTAGAAGCAAACTAAACATAATTTTACCTGTCCTGCACAGTCAAACACAACCCTGGAGTTTTGAAACTTATCCAGGGTCAGTGATGACTGATGGGTTTTATAATATAACGTATACGCTAATGTTAGATAGTACTGGTGACTGGCAACAAACAAGGAAGATAATCCTGGGGGGCTTGGGGGGGGTGGGGGGGGGTTGGGGATTGTTATGCAAGTGGTTACGTCTGTTGGAGATTTCTTAGAACCATATGAGAATGGTATAATTATGAGTTTTTATCTCTGGTGGAATTCACTTACATTTTGTGCCATCAGCTTATTAATAGCATTTTAACCTAAACAAAGAGAAGTGTAAAATTTCCAGAAAGGTAAGTGTTGCTTTAAGAGAAAAAATATGCATCTTTGACTTTGGAGTGAAGTGTCCCTTTTAAGTTAGCCGTTCAGTGTCTTTCCATGTCAGAAACAGAATAGTCAAGAAACATCATTAAACCAACAAAATGATGTAATCCACAGCTCCAGATATGATCCACTTTTAAAGTAATGCTTCTTTCAGTAATTCTGATTCTTGTTATTCATATTGGTGGTGGCAGCCTCTGTGTCTGCACCCTGACGTCACCCAGTCTGTCTCCTGTAATTTTGCTGACTCTGTCTATGATCTCCCTCCAGGTCTCTGGCAGTGGGTAGTGGCAGTATGATGTGTCGTGTTGGCAGCGTGGTGGCCCCCTTCTGTGTGTATCTGGCTGATGTGTGGATCTACCTACCTCAGGTATACATGTCCTCTCTCGGCTAGTTCTCTCAGAACAACAGATCTGGTTTCATGTTTTATTACGATGTTTATTCTGTCACCTTTGGACCCTGTTTCTATCAGTCTTAGTTCATCTACAGGGGCAGCCTGACAACAAAACAAACAATCAATTAACAAATCAATGTTCTCCTTTATCCATCATGACCTTTGTGTAGCTCATTGTGGGGATCCTGGCATTCGTTATCGGAGTTCTGACAATGTTGTTGCCTGAGACCCTGGGCAAACCTCTAACATCCACTCTGGAAGAGGCCGAAGCTCTGGGACGCGAGCCCAGCAAGAAGAACTCAGCCCTGGGCAATAAAGATGCTGAGGACGGGTTGGAGATGAACCAACATGAAGTAAAGGCCTGAGCTGTACACCGCTGGAAAACCAGAGAGACTGACGCACAGAGAAGCTTTGGACGAATAAAAAATGAAGGAAAAACGAGAGGAGGTGACGGCTGCCAGAAACTGAAATAGTAACATCATTGATTTAGTAGATTGTTGGAAAAAAATGAAAAAAGAAAAAACATGAAGCTTTTCATCAGAACTTGTTGAGATGATGTGTTTTTTTCCACAAAGTGACCAACAATTTAAGGGTCCTGGGACATTACACAAACCCTCCTGCACGCACACAGATCACAGTCATGTAACAATCGGTCACACATACAGTGCAATCACAGCAGTCCATGAAGAAAATCATATGCTTTGTTTGTGTGTCATGTGTGTGTGTGTGTGTGTGTGTGTGTGTGTGTGTGTGTGTGTGTGTACAAAAACAAGGAATCATGAAGGATATTAAGAGATCATTTTTAAATGACAATTTGGGTCTTAGTTTTGTAGTTTTGCCAAAGATTTCTATCAGTCATGAGAACTTTGTACTCACCAAAGGAATTGCCGTGATCTCGCAGTGATGGGACATATGGCTATAGGGCAAGAAACAAATTATCCAAACTGCTTTCGGCCTCGGTCACACAGAGGGTGTTTTAGCAGCTGGTGGCGGCTTTTTTGTAATTGTTATTAATGAGAATGAAGCTTTTTGCTCACTGTTTTTGCTTTGGGATGCACCTTGCGTTTCTGTGCTCTAGTCACCTGCCGGAGCGCTGCAAACTCCTCGAGTTCAAAAAACTTAAACTCAGAGCACAGTAGTCCTAAAATATGCCTAGAAAAGGTGATCGTCGAGGCTAAGCTCCTGGACTAACTGTTGGTACTCCCCGTGATCCACCCACAGCTCTCTGTTTCCCTGTGCCCAACAAACTATTTGCTGACAGCCTCTCACCCTCAACCAGAGCTACAGCAAGTACCCTCTGCCTGAACGTTTTAGGAACTAGATACTAATTAGTGGTTCGGCTTTTGCAGTGATGCGAGCGCTGCGCCGGACCATCGTGGTGAAGAACGAGCTGAGCCGGAAGGTGAAGATTTTGATTTACTGGTCCATCTACGTCCCAACCCTCACCTATGGTCATGAGCTCTGGGTAGTGACCGAAAGAACGAGATCACGGATACAAGCGGCTGAAATGAGTTTCCTCTGTGGGGGGGCTGGGCTCAGCCTTAGAGATAGGGTAAGGAGCTCGGACATCTGGAGGGAGCTTGGGGTAGAGCGGCTGCTCCTTTACGTTGAAAGGGGTCAGTTGAGGTGGTTCGGGCATCTGATCAGGACGCCTCCTGGGCGCCTCCCTTTGGAGGTGTTCCAGGCACATCACACTTGTAGGAGGCCCCAGGGCAGACCCAGAACATGCTGGAGGGATTACATATCTCATCTGGCCTGGGAACACCTTGGGGTCCCCCAGGAGGAGCTGGCGAGGGATGTCTGGGGTGCTTTGCTTGGCCTGCTGCCCCCACGAACCGGCCCCAGATAACTGGATGAAAATGGATGGATGGTAGATTGACTACACAAAGTTAGGGTAAGGAGGTGTTGGCGTGGTAACAATTCAAAGGTGCAAAAAGGTTTTTTTTACTGGTGGCATTCAATTATTATAAAAAAAAGGCGGTACGGTACGCCTCTGTGTGATTGGGGCCTTCGATCGGTCAAAGTTAAACCAGAAAATGTTATGGATGTTAATATCATCATATCAGTTTGGGTAATGATTCTGCTGTTTAATTGTTATCTTTTTATCTCAGATTATGAATACAATGTTGTTAGGACAGATAGAAAAAAAACTGCAAAAATAAGACCCAAGTTGTTCTAAACATATGCACTGTGATTTATTTACCTCTCTGAAACAGTAATCATGAATGAGGGACATGATGTGCCTCTCTTTCTGGAACATATAGTATTAAAGCTTCCAGATTCAATTTTATCTTATTTCCATGATACAAACAACAGAATGTTCTAATAAAGAAGAGCCTTATTTTTCATTTTAAGGTCACCTTTTTATTATGTTCAACTCTGTTTTGTTTGTTTAGTGTTTTAAATCTCAGGGCATCCAGTTTTGGATATCACTGTGAAATAAGCATACCTTTTACTTTTACACTTAGTTTAATAGTATGCCCAATTGCCTAGCTTTAACTTTGTTAACTGGTGTGAGTGTGTGTCTTTGTGTGTGCTCGTGTGTGTTAGTAAGTACAACATGTGGTGTCCGAGTTTTCTACATGCTTATTCTGTATATGTACTCTAGATGCTGGACATACCAAAGGAAATGTATATAGAATAATACTACAATATGTTTGAGAGTCGAGATGTGATCTCCAGATGTTTGGACCAAAGACAGGAACGAACCACAGCAGTGTGGAGATGTATTGACCTGCTTTGCAATACCGTAGGATACTACTAGTGTGTTTTATGTTTCTTATGCAACCAGTGTGGTGCATTCATCTGAAGGAAAACAACAAATCATGACAAAGAGCTGATATCCAAACAGTGACGGTGACGAAAGTGCTCAGGTTCAGTATTCAATCATGAGTTTTACAATCAACAGTATGATTTTTTTGTATAAGTAGTGTCTTTGTTTTATTATGAACAAAAAAATAAAATGGCTAACACTGCAGTTGTTGGCCTCCTCTTTACCTCACCACACTTTTACATGATGTGTTGTTTCTATGTATTTGCTCTAACAACTGTAGTTACATAGTGATTCTGAGAAAAACCTTATTTGATATATGCCTCTATGCAAGTTCAAAGGTCTTCTTCTTCTTTTTCATCTCGTTGTTCTTCTTCCCTCCCCTCTGTCACTTTAATCTGGTGCTGGAAAAGTAGGGAATCTATTTTTGTCATACAAGGAATATGAAGCAGGTCTGGGAACAGCCCACCGGCACAAACAGCTTCCTATTTGCTACTGAAGAGGAGGTCCTGACTGCCCCCACCTCTGCACTGCCCAGCTCATGAACAAATCCTCTATGTTCAACTCTGACTGTACACTGGCCATGCATCTGCAGAGTTTTCAACTTCAATGTGTGTATAGAAGTCTGTATGGAAAAGTTGAAGTTACGCAATTCACTTGAACCTTGTCATGATACTGATGCCCCAAATAGTGTGGTGTTATTATTGGACACATTGGAGAGAAGAATGTGTCAGGAATTTCTCATCTATGTGTGTGTGTGTGTGTGTGTGTGTGTGTGTGTCTGTGTCTGTGATCTTGTTGCTATGCATATGTGAGGACCAAGTTGATTTATACAGTCAGGACTCACTTTTACATAGGGCTGATCAGGAGTTAAGACTATCTAGGAAACTTAGAAACTGTCGAAGTAAGGTATGTCAATAAAGGTATGATAAAAATGGCAAAGTACTGTGTGGCACAAAAGTGTCATAAAAAGGTCATACTGTACTATGACCTTTTCATGACATGCTATGGCATGTCGTCCAAAGTCATGAAAAATGGTCATGATATAGCATGTCATCCAAAATCATAAAAAAAGTCATAGTATAGCATGTCGTCCAAAATCATAAAAAATGTCATATAGCATGTCGTCCAAAATTATGAAAAAAATGTCATAGTATAGNAGATTGACTACACAAAGTTAGGGTAAGGAGGTGTTGGCGTGGTAACAATTCAAAGGTGCAAAAAGGTTTTTTTTACTGGTGGCATTCAATTATTATAAAAAAAAGGCGGTACGGTACGCCTCTGTGTGATTGGGGCCTTCGATCGGTCAAAGTTAAACCAGAAAATGTTATGGATGTTAATATCATCATATCAGTTTGGGTAATGATTCTGCTGTTTAATTGTTATCTTTTTATCTCAGATTATGAATACAATGTTGTTAGGACAGATAGAAAAAAAACTGCAAAAATAAGACCCAAGTTGTTCTAAACATATGCACTGTGATTTATTTACCTCTCTGAAACAGTAATCATGAATGAGGGACATGATGTGCCTCTCTTTCTGGAACATATAGTATTAAAGCTTCCAGATTCAATTTTATCTTATTTCCATGATACAAACAACAGAATGTTCTAATAAAGAAGAGCCTTATTTTTCATTTTAAGGTCACCTTTTTATTATGTTCAACTCTGTTTTGTTTGTTTAGTGTTTTAAATCTCAGGGCATCCAGTTTTGGATATCACTGTGAAATAAGCATACCTTTTACTTTTACACTTAGTTTAATAGTATGCCCAATTGCCTAGCTTTAACTTTGTTAACTGGTGTGAGTGTGTGTCTGTGTGTGTGCTCGTGTGTGTTAGTAAGTACAACATGTGGTGTCCGAGTTTTCTACATGCTTATTCTGTATATGTACTCTAGATGCTGGACATACCAAAGGAAATGTATATAGAATAATACTACAATATGTTTGAGAGTCGAGATGTGATCTCCAGATGTTTGGACCAAAGACAGGAACGAACCACAGCAGTGTGGAGATGTATTGACCTGCTTTGCAATACCGTAGGATACTACTAGTGTGTTTTATGTTTCTTATGCAACCAGTGTGGTGCATTCATCTGAAGGAAAACAACAAATCATGACAAAGAGCTGATATCCAAACAGTGACGGTGACGAAAGTGCTCAGGTTCAGTATTCAATCATGAGTTTTACAATCAACAGTATGATTTTTTTGTATAAGTAGTGTCTTTGTTTTATTATGAACAAAAAAATAAAATGGCTAACACTGCAGTTGTTGGCCTCCTCTTTACCTCACCACACTTTTACATGATGTGTTGTTTCTATGTATTTGCTCTAACAACTGTAGTTACATAGTGATTCTGAGAAAAACCTTATTTGATATATGCCTCTATGCAAGTTCAAAGGTCTTCTTCTTCTTTTTCATCTCGTTGTTCTTCTTCCCTCCCCTCTGTCACTTTAATCTGGTGCTGGAAAAGTAGGGAATCTATTTTTGTCATACAAGGAATATGAAGCAGGTCTGGGAACAGCCCACCGGCACAAACAGCTTCCTATTTGCTACTGAAGAGGAGGTCCTGACTGCCCCCACCTCTGCACTGCCCAGCTCATGAACAAATCCTCTATGTTCAACTCTGACTGTACACTGGCCATGCATCTGCAGAGTTTTCAACTTCAATGTGTGTATAGAAGTCTGTATGGAAAAGTTGAAGTTACGCAATTCACTTGAACCTTGTCATGATACTGATGCCCCAAATAGTGTGGTGTTATTATTGGACACATTGGAGAGAAGAATGTGTCAGGAATTTCTCATCTATGTGTGTGTGTGTGTGTGTGTGTGTGTGTGTCTGTGTCTGTGATCTTGTTGCTATGCATATGTGAGGACCAAGTTGATTTATACAGTCAGGACTCACTTTTACATAGGGCTGATCAGGAGTTAAGACTATCTAGGAAACTTAGAAACTGTCGAAGTAAGGTATGTCAATAAAGGTATGATAA